TCCTAGTCTCTTTTCCTTGGTATTTCATTTTTCATGATGGACACTCAAACGTACTGCCGTCGAGCTAAGAAAGGATTAAAACGTTCAAAATGGCTGGAAAGGTAAAGTCTTCAATTTGTCCTGTCGGTGTTATCATAATAGTTTAGTAGTTCATTTCTTAGGATAATAAGAAAACTCGTTAAGGGAGAGATGAAGCTTAATAAGGTATTTGAATCAAATCCTTTACTCATTAATAATTAATATTAACTAAGAGAGAAATTAAAAGTTAACTTGGCAATCAGTATATCTAATTAAGTATCATTTTTCTTTTTACTTTATATTTTTTGTTCAATCAGTTGGGTACCCTTCCTGTTAACTACGTTTTCGGCCGTAATCCCAATAATATCTCTCGATGTTCGGCCAGCTTAGGATATTTAGGTTAGTTCTTTATACACATGTTACGCTAAAAATGCTAAACGATCTCTATAATACAATATAACTATACAAATATAATTAAAAAGTAATGGCATTCGATATATTAAATGGTGTAGCAATACTGCTAATCAAAGTAACAACATATGTACAAATACAGTATACCTTAACATTTATACCACTCCTTATGGAGTAGCTTCACATACCCCTAGTAGTACTAAATGTTTTAAAGGGAATTCAGCAACAGCACCATATTTCTATGTGACTTTTGTACGTTTTGCACAGTTTCAGTAACCAAATACGTCCCTGAAAACACACCTGCAAACCCCAAGTAAAAGTTGTTGTAGTTTATGGCTTAGGAACAAATTTAAATTGAATTTGTTAACTTATGACTAGTCTTTAATGACAATGCTTTACAGAAAATCAGTTAATAAGAAGCAGCATAGGATCAACGGTTTGTAACAACTTTACGGAAAACCAGTAAATAAGCAACAGTATAAGATCAACCCTACATAAATCAAATGACACTTAAATAAATGAGAATAAATTCTAGCTTTACTTGAAAGTAAATAGTTTGAATTGTGGTTTCTTTCGAAAGTAAGTAGGATATAATCAAAGTGCTCTTCTAGCATTTTACCTGATAACCGGTTTCATTTCATTCTCAGCTGAACTCCAAAGTTGAAAACCATTATCTAAATGTGATTTAAAGATCAATAATGAAATAATAATACATCTTAAATACAATAATGTGATATCAGTAAATGACGTTATCATAGATTAACACATACAACTATATCATTGTATTAGACCAGAATATTACATTGTTTGGTTTTGGTGTATAGTACTTTATTCGCCACAGATAACCTTAAATACTTTAGCTGTTTGGATAACATTTGACATACCATCACAATTAATTATACATTATTATTCAGTGGACAAATAGTTATCAATTTATTTGAGATTTTGTTTCCTCACTAAAGCGTGAATTTCAGTGAAGAATATATGATGTATAGCAGGCCTAATAGATTCTTTGATTCGCCACTTCCGCTGCAGCAGACTAGTTTCCCTGAATTCACAGCTCAGTGCTGCTTGGATATAAAGCCTATGTTGATTATTTCCTTTGCTATTTCAAGCAGCACCAATGAGCTGTGAATTCAGCAAAACTATTATGCTGCAATGGAAGTAACGAACCAAATAATAGGTTAGGCCTGAAATTCACGTTTTGTTGAGGAAAACAAATTTTCAGTTAGAGGATTACACTGTCATAGAATATCTCGTAATAGATTAACATAAGTTATGTTACCACTGTAAAAGTGAGGAAATATTACATTACTAGCGTATAGCCCGTCACAAAAAAGATGGTTCAAATACACACCCCACATTATTCCCTAGCCTCACATTTCATAGCTAACTGAAATAAATAAATTGTGCGAAATCAAGTTGACCAATAAAGAGGCAGAAAAGTGCAGTCGAGGCAGTCAAACGTTGGTAAATTCCTTTGTGAGCCAAACAAATGAAGATCATTCATAAAATGAATTCGTGGCGTATTCATAAAATAATTATTGGTAAAAATTGGTTAGATTAACAATGTCTAATATATAGAAAAGCCAGAGCGTTTTGGTAATATTACGTTTCCAACAATAGCTTTTATGTCCTGACGCTTAGCAACAAAAGTATAACCTAATATTGTTGTTAGTCTATGTACTGAAAGTATAAAATAAAATTTACAGATAACAAAACTGGAAAATATTTGTTTGATTTCTTAAAATAGATCAATGAGATTTAAAAACGTTGGTGATATAACAGAAAATAGCTTAATTCAGAAACGATTTATGTTTAAAATTGAATCGATATT